TGGAGCGACGGGCAGTGGGAAATCGTTTTGGCAGAGATGAAACGAAAAGAAGGCAGTACAGTATCGCTGAAGGGGCTTCATGTCTAACTTAGCTAAGTGTAGACTCTGTGTTTAGTCCGTGCTGCGCTAACTGACAATTTGACTCATTTTTGTGGAAAATATTTGGAGTTGTCACAAGACGCAATGTTAAAGACTAATTGTATGTATTGTTCTGCCCACAGTAAAAGTTTCAAAGGCGTTTCATACGGTTAAAAGAAAAAAAAAGGGGGTTCAAAACATATTCTTATTTGAAACGTCATAGTTCATGTTATTCCACGCAAAAGGTAATCGTGTTTAAAATATCATTCTAGTCGCCGTTTGTTTACCCGTATTTTATTTTGAGAACGTAGTTAGTAGTCGCAATGCATTGTGGGTAGCAAATGTCGGGCGAGTGGCTGCTGAAAGCCTGACTGTGGTCGTTCTAACTGCTACTTCTGTGTTACATTCCTTTTCTGTCCACCTTCGAAAGCAATGGCTGTAAGTTGGATTGTGTTTAGAGGTATTTAGAAATCTGTTTCGGAGATAATTTTCGTGTTGTCCCTGAAACTTGCTAGCGCGGAGCACAGTGTACGAACGTAGCAGTAAGTTAGTGCTAACGAGCTAATTAGCATGCGAAAGGATCGCGAAAATGCTTTGTTTGTCATTGTCACACTCAAGAGCTGCGTTTATGTCTGTTGTTTGGCACTGGACGATTTGTGTTGTATTTATTTGGTTACAAGAAGCTAATACATGTTTTAAATTAGTTTTTTGTCAACATTCATTCAACATTTTCATCGAGCTGATGTCACAGTTGTTTACTGTAAGCTGTCAACACGACCGTAATAAAGGAGCAAGACGCTCAGTTTCCTAGCTCATGAAGTTGGAGTTTGGCTTGCTGTTCACCTGCGTTGACATACCCAGCGTATCCAACACATAGTGATAAAAGTAAATGTTTGTTTAGCTTCCCCCCACTCGCCCAAGCTTTATTTATTGCTTTCTATATGTACCTACATGCATGTCAGGTTCACTGAAGGCTTAAAGTCGTCTATAACCGGCGGCGTTAAGCTAATTGGCCGATGTGTATGTTACCCAAGTTGTTTCGAAGATTGTCGACATGCCGTTGTGTAAGCCAGTTTTGCTACGCACTTTATCTCCTTTTTTTCAGCGTGAAATGATCCCCAAACCTCAGAGATTCTCTCTTATGCGATTTTTTTTTCCCCTCCCCGCACCAACTTATCTCGCGTCAGCAGTAACATAAAAATGGTCACCGCAGAGCTGTGGGATAAAGATTTTGCTTCGAGTTATACAAATAAATCGTCGCAGCCCTAATCACGCCATTCCAAACGTATTATGATAAGATGTAAAAGACGGGATGAAGAGACGACCCATCAAGTTAGGACCGTTTACTCGAAATGCTCTCTTGAATTGACGAGGCAGCGCCAAAATTGGATTGCGATTGTACTTACAGCCAGGAGTATCTGCAACGAGGAATGAGCCACTTCCACAAACTGAAAGTCCATCAGGCACCCGGATATCGATATGTATCGGTGGTCCTCGGGGGCCCAAGAAGGAGGTGGGCTGATGGGGGTCACCCTGCACCCGGGGCCGTTCTCCATCCACCAGGAGCGATGCATGGACAGGTTGAAGGTGAGGACAAGGTCGGAGTCCTGGGGAGATGGAGAGAAAGCGAGCCAGAGGTGAAACTAGCTTAGCGGAGGAAGGATGGGCGGCGGCAGAGGCCAAATGTCAAGCCGCCCTTTAAACGCATTTTAATTAAAGCCAAACTGTTTGTCATCTCCCGGGCGGCGAGATGAAGAGATATAAAGAAAGCGGAGGGATGTTGGTGGCTAAAAATAAATCATAAGATGTAGAAGCTCCATTGAGGCAGCAAGAGAGGGATGTTGGATCACAAAAAAGATTCGGCTACAAAGCATATAAAAAGCTCTAATGATGGTTTTAAATAGCCGAGGTGTGAGGTATGTACTGCCGCTCCAAGCCATCTTAATATTATTGAGAAGGCACTTCAGCAGGGGTGTCAAACTCATTTTTGTCACGGGTCACTTTGAAGTTACGTTTTCTCTCGGATGGCCATTACGACAGTGAAACCGAAGAAATGTTTAATCATCACATCGTATTATTACTTGTACACAACAAATCAAATTGATGGATTACTAGTTTTGAAATAAGCCAACTGTTGTTTATTCAGTCATTGTCCAAATGAGTGGAAACGGGGTTTAAAAAAGATTATTGCAAAATCTCAACGTTATTTATTACACCTGACAATTTGACATTTCGGTCCAGATTTGAGCAAGGATCATGGAAGTTGACACGGATGATTTGCTTTCGCGGGCCACATAAAATGACATGGCGGGCCGGATCTGCCCCCCCCCCGGGCCTTGAGTTTGACACCTGTGCGCTACAGTATTGAACCGTCCTAGTTGTGCCTTGATCAACTGCTGATCAACATGTCCTTGGCGGCCACGTATATCGTAAATGGTTGTTCGCTGCACAGTTGTTGAGGATAAAGGTCGGGTGACTCCATTAACAACAGAAGTGAGGACGCCGCTCTGTTCCATTCATCCCGCTGTCACATCTTCACTCGACTGTGCCGCCTCATCCGTCCAAAATGTTCATTTTCCCCACTAATGTTCCCACCTAATTAATTTATATGGCGCGTTCCTTTGTCTCCCCCTTTTTTTCCTTTTTTGGGTCTCTTTCTCTTCTCGTGTAATGACTTAATGCCTCATTAGTGCTGAGCTCTGATTAATACCGTCTCCCCTTGTTGTGCTCGTCTTTTGTAATGAGTAAAAATCTCACGAAATTTCTCGTGCGCCGACTGGGCTCTGTCATCGCTCTTCATCGGCCTCCCATTGTCTCCACGCTTGCCTCTGATATCCCCCCCACGCCCCAACCTGCATCCATCCTCCTTTTATCTTCATTTCCGTCTCGCCCCTCGATGCCCGCTCTTATTTTATCTTCCGCCTTGGCTTTAAATGAGCCGCGATCGTCCACAACAATCGATAAAGAGCAAATACCAGTGGAAGCATGATGTGCACTTCATTTTTTTTTTTGGGGGGTGGGGGGGCGGCGATGAGAGTCAGAGAACCATTGAGGTTACACAATCGGATATGAAGCGTGCAGTCGACTTGAATGTCTTTTATAACTTTTTCTTTTTTAACTCTTGACGGTAACGAGTGTACATGACAAACCTTGAATGGAAACTCACCGATGATGCGTACGACAAAGGCATACGTAGTTCAAGTATATGGAAAATAATTTGAGGTTGAGAGCACAAATGCCTGGTGCTCTCAGGTCTTTGTCCCCGACTTTGCACTGGTGCTGCCGCTTCAATGAACCACGTCTGTTTCCCCCCCTCCCCCTCCCCCCTCTCTGTGGTTACGTCTCTCTCCCTTCCTCGCTCTCTCGCTCAATTTCCCCTCCGTTTCCTATTTCTCTTCTTTTGTCTCCAAGCCCCTTGGGAGTCAGGAATGGAGGAGGAAACGGGGGGCCTTTCAAAATGGTCTTCTGTCTCATGGACAGATTGTGAACGAGGGACATATTAAGGTGGGGAGGATAGATAGATAGATAGATAGATGGATGGACGGATAGAGGCAAGGGTTCATGCACCTCTCCCGAGGTCAATGCCAGACACTGAAAGAACTTTTGGGATTTTTCGTCACCTTCTAGCTGTGGCGATGTTGACTCAAAACGTATTCATATATATATATTTTTTAACCTTATTGAGTAAGATCAGCGTTCTTCATTCAGAGGGGCCTCGGTGGCCCAAGGGCCAGTATGTGACTGTATCGGGCGACTCGGAGTTCTGTGACACTGGTCGGAAATTTTGGAAGTACAAATTTCTTGCGCTTTTAACACCAAACTTGTTTTTTTTTTTTGATCCACTTAACCCTTTCAGAGACAGCGGCTACTACAGTGGACAGCTGATCATGTTATCAGGTTTACAGGGTGCATGAAGGGGTTAAATTGATCAATCAATGATCTTATGACCGCTCCGCACACTTTTTTTTTTCTTTTTCTTTTATTTTGCGCATTAGTTTTAATCCTTCCATAAGTAGTGGGCTTGAACAAGATCTAAAGCCGAGAAAATGTCAAATGTTAAGTATGCAGTTTGATTTTACACAGTGGAAGGATGAACAAACAAACAAACATGGAGCTTTATTATATCTTTCGTTAAAATCGGGCGGCTCGAGTGGTTAGTGCGTCGACCTCACGTGCAGAGGTCGCGGGTTTGATCCTGCCTCCGGCCTTCCTGTGTGGAGTTTGCATTCCTGCGTGGGTTTTCTCCGGGTAGTCCAGATTCCTCTCACATCGTCGAACTCGGCCAGCATGTTCGTCATACACATACGTAATAAAAAACAGACACGATTGGCACCTGTCCGATTTACAAGGTTCAAATGTCTGACAATTGGAAAGAAAAAAAAAAAATCTCTCTTGGAGGCGTTTGTTTTTGAAAGATGCCTGGAAAAAGACAATACAAAAGGGCGGTGCATCCGGAGGTTACAAAAAAGACAAAAAGCCGTGCCCGACAGGTATTTGTTTGAGATCAGCGGCATCCGACCCACCGTAGCTTGTAGCACACACGCAGATCCCCGCATCGCATTTGACCTCGTTTTTGCCTCGTCTAAATATACAACACAGGCTCCGGCGGTCGTGTAGCGAGAATCAGTCAGGCGGTAAATAAACGCCCGCGGTTTGGGCGTCGTGACACAAAAGACACGCTGAGGCTGAGAAGCAAGCGAGGTCAGAAAAATAAGCTTGATTCTCAACTCCAGTTAATTTTTCACTCTATTTAACAAACTGTCTCCATCTGCGTTTGTCTCTCGGTTTGTGCCTGTTTTGCACCAAATGTCATCAGTCATGCTGCATCTCCCCTACATTGTTTGCCTGTGATTTCCCACGGGTGCTTGGATGAGACTTTAACCCGTAATGCCTCAAGCACCTCTCTTCTATCAAATTGGTTGGGGGGGGGGGTTCTGGGGAATTATTTATTTATTTGAGTGCGCGCGTGCGCGCCGAATGTGGCAGCTGGGGGCGCTCGAAACAGAGACGAAGTCAATATAGCAACGTGGCCGTCACGCTCTAAATTGTCGCCAGTGTACAATATCCCAGGTGGGCTTGAGACGGACTTTAATTCGGTTTCTCGGTACGTTGATCGGTTTCTTCAAAGCCTGTTGGCCACGCCTCTCGTCATAAATCACTTCTTGTAATTGTAGTCGGAGAGCTGCGCTTTCTATCAATTTTCGACAGTGCTTGACTTCGGTGACGCCAACAGATGCTCACTGTGGGTGAAAGGAGGGGTAAACCCAGGACTGGTCGCCAGTCAACTGAAGGGCTTGCGTAGATACGAACACCCTTTCATGCTCGTGTTTACACATGTGGGACAATTTAGAGACTTCGTTGACCTGAATTGCATGTTTTGGGAAAGTCTGGGGAAGCAGGAGTACCCGCAGAAAATCCACACAAGCATGCGGAGTATGGGAAGGCATTTGAGCAGTAATAGGACAACGATGTCTTATTGGTATTCGACTTTTGAGGTCAAATCTCACAAAAATAAACAGATCCAATACTTTATGAACGCCCCTTTGATCTCTGTTACCGCAACAGACGGCTACGTTTTACAGAGAAGTCATCTGTTTTTTTTTTATGGGTCGGAAGAGTGATTCTAATGTACGCCACTGTTACAGTCAATCTGTTTTATCAGCCGCCTGCGTTTTTAACAAGCCAAATGCTAATTCACAGCAGTGCGTAAAAATCATACAGCAACTGTGAATAATCGGCCGAATTGCTCGGATCAAACCATTAAAAAAAAACGCGACGGAGAAAAGGAATGGGAGTGACACTTTAAGTCGGTGTTTATTTGGTGCTTCTTTTGCCGAAATGATCTCGGGCGCTTGCATAATGTAAGCGTTGCGGTTATGGGGGCTGATCTGCAGATTACACGAGTGAATCTCAGATGCTGCGTTATTGCAGACAGCGATTTTCCCCAGCCCACCATCTCTTGCCTTTCATCCTTCATCTTTGTCTTCACGCCTCATCCCACCGTCTTCTCTCCCTCTTCCACACCGTGTGTGCGTGTGCGTGCGCCTTGCTTTCTTCTGACTCATGACAAAACAACACATTGTACATGCAACACCTACAGCCGGGTGCACATTTTAACACATGCAGTATGCTAAGGAGACCACGCAGGGATGCAACCATCACGCCTAGCCTGCCCAACCTCCCCCGCCCCCAAGCAAATGATTGACAGCTGAGTGCGATATGTGTCAATGTGTGTGCCTCTGTCACCTAGGGGCTGGCTGCATCTATTATACCACCCCACGGACTGCTGACGGTTTGCTGCGTGTCTGTTTGTGTGCATGCATGATAACGCGAATATGCTACTCGCCCCACAAGCTCCTCTCTTAAAACGAAGCATTTTCAACCTGATATAATTCAACTTTCTGTCAACACAGTCAACTTATCTTGAGACTTTTTTTTAATGGTAAGCTCCACAAAATGGCGGCACGGTGGTCGACTGATTAGCACACCGGCCTCACAGTACAGAAGTTCAGGGTTTGCATGTTCTCCCCAATGCCTGCGTGGGTTTTCTCTGGGTACTCCGGTTTCCTCCCACATTCCAAAAACATGCGTGGCGGGTCAATGGAACCCGTGTGAGGATAAGCGGATTAGAAAATGGATGGATAGCAACACAAAATGGCCTCTGCCTCCTGCAAAGTTATTTTATTATACTGGTTTGAAGATAATTACTGGAAACGTGTAGACTGAGAACTATGTAGTACTCAGATGAGGAGATCCGTTTCGCACATTTTCAGTTTTCTTGATAATTATTATTATTTTTTTAAAGTCTGGCTAAAAGCGGCAGTTACTGTAGCTAGCTCGCTATGCTTACACCCTGAGAATATGTATTCCTTGAAGATAGTGTGGCTGCTTTAGAGCGCCTCGTAAACTGAGTCCAAACACATCAGACACCCAAGGAAAGCTGGAAGAGCGACAGGGGGGAGGGGGGGGGTTTCTTTTTTTTTTTTTTTTTTTTAAAAACAACTTGACAGCCACCATGTGGACTGGGGCTTCGGACTGGTATGGACGCTATAGAGAGTGCCTTGTTGTCAGCCATGAGCAAATGCATGTCACAGAGGGAAAGATGGAAGAGCGGGGGGGGGGGGAATTTTATTTTATTTTTTTTATTCTTCCAAAGCCCCACTTGACAGCCAGTTTTTGGCCAGGGGCTTCACATTGGCGGGGCTGCTTCAGAGTGCCTTGTTATTGTGCGACGGGAAAGCCCCGTGACAACCTAATGGGATAGATATACTGTATTCCAGCTACCTGAGTCTTTCATAATCTTTCTAATGTGCAGTTGTACCTTGACTTCCAAGTTCAAAATACTAGAAGTACTGCAGACTTTGGGTTCGCAAAGGTTGGGTGTGGGTGGTGGTATGCAAAGTGAGCAGAGAGCAAAGATCGCGTGGGGTCTTAACAATGACTGTTACTCCTTGCGAGCCGCAACCGTTTCCACTCTTCCAATAGACTTTGGAGGGTTTCAAGTGCCTGGATGGTGAGTCGAGACTCTCTCAATGACTCGTGATGACCAATTTATATGTGGGGGGGATGTACATCAGTGAATCACAGCTGACTTTGCAACTCACCGAATGAACATCAAAACAGCCCGGGATGACTTCTCGCCACCGCTGGCGGTAATTTTATCCATCAAACAAATATTTGTCATCACGCAAGGAAACGCAACGGATTTGACTGCGATATCTCAAATCTGTCAGTATGTGGCATTATGTAAATGTGAAGAGCTGAATGTGTCGTGCTGTGCCCGGCCTCTGAGTATTTATTCGTATAGCCGAGAGTCTGATGGCAACACTAATAAACGTATAGAGCTGCGGGCAATGTAGGGATGTATCATCCGGACACGAGGACTCGGGGCAAATAAAAATGAACAAGGACGTTATAGTGCAATTTTACGTCTCTGATTGGGAGGCGCTTTCAAACACAGAAGCATGTCAGATCTCTTAATGGAGAAAAATGGAGCCGACTTTCATCAGGGCCACCTCAAAGTAAGAGCCGGCGCGTATTCAAGTCATGTAATAAACTGGCCAGTGCACAAAGCGTCATCGTTTGAATTGCAATTGGCCTCGAATAGCGACAACTTCGAGACACACGTTTTCAAGTTTTGACTTTGTAGGCGCAAAAAGGAAGGGCGATGAAATGGGACGTCGCCTGGTGTGTCATTTCAAACTTTGATTAAACGCCCCTCTCGTATAGACAGTCAATGACCAGTCGCAACTGGAACGATCGCAGATCCTGTTTACACACTTACGACGTTAAGTGACGACTCCGCTAGAACTAGGAACATGTAAAAAGAATCTGACAGTAGGGAGAAAAGTGTTAACGCATGTTGTAAAAGACTTTCCTGCACAGTATTAAAGATGATCTTGTATTCGGGAGGCACGTCTATCATGAGTAGACCCACAAAAATGACACAGGAAGTCAGCCATTTTGGTATGAAATGGCCATGATGGTGTCATTTGGACCTTTACACTGTCTAAAATTCAGCCCACCAAGCCAGTTTCACTGATCAACATGAAATTTGGTAGGCATGTCTCTCATGAGCAGAACCACAAAAAAGTCTGAGGAACCTCTGCCGGAAAAAACAACACCAAGTCGGCCAATTTGTTTTGAAGCGGTCGTTTTAACGCGATTGCGGCCTTTATTTTTGCGTTGAAAATTCGGCCCCCATTTTTTTGGATTTCAGAACAGCACAGATTTTCTGTTGAAAAGAAAGATTAGGGTGGTGAGTCTTAGTTTGGCACATTGAGGGAGAGAAATTGGACACATTTAGGCCGATCACACTCAAAGAGTCTAAACATTGTATGAACCAGAGCTTCCCAACCACCAGACCGTGACCTGGTTGGTAGCACCCCAACCTTGTCAATTGGGGAATTTACGTCAGTCATGCAATATTCTGTGGGTCTTGAAAGATCAGTCAAATGAGTTGTCATTCCATAATGCATTTGTTCAATTCAAGGCCTTGCGACGAATCGGGACGGACGTTTGTTACCCCTCTGTCAGTGGAGTCGACTATTTCTCTTTTTTTTCTTTCTTTCTTGCCCCAAAATCGACCCCGACCCCCTTTTTCATCTCAATAAATAAAAAGGCAGATTATATTGAATGTATTATTCATATCTCCAATGTTCGATACATATCATCTATGCACAGCTTTCATCTCTTATCCGACTCCTGCGACGGCTCAGTGTTCATTTTTTGGTGCTTAAATTAGCTTAACGCATCCTTTGAAGCCACACTTTTGTCTTTAACCTTGCATCTTTAATTTCGGGTGGGTGCTTACTTTTTTTTTTTTTTTTTTTTTTAACCGCTGCCGCGGCGACGCGGCGATGGCGGGAGGTTAAGCTCGCTGACACGCGGCGCACCGCCGGGTTTAGCCCTGAGAAGAGCCGATAAGGCAACATTAAAGCGAGGGGAGCGGCCATGTTAAGCCAACACTCGTTACCGCTAATAGCCTGCGAGTGCAAACGCTAATGAGCCTTTAAACAGGAGGCCCGTTTTCTTCTCAGATTCATTGTGAAGCAATTCCTTCAAGTCGGCCCTTTTTTTAATGTGGGACTAACACATTTTTTTTTTATTTTTTTTTTTATTGCCGCTTTATTTGTTTGACGGTGAGCTTTTGGCCTTGTTTTATATGCCGTCCGGCGTAATGAGTCAGTAAACAAGCCAGGGGACCGGTGCTGATAGATTCGTCAAACAGCTGGTGAAGCTGGTTTGATCTGGGGGTGCGGCACCCTCTATAATATCTCGGTCAAGGTTAATATGCCCTTGAGCATTACTCATGTCCGCACACACTCACACACACATCCTGCTCTGGTCATAAAACAAGCTATGCTGCGTGTGCTTTCACTGCGCCTCGCTCTGATTGGACAGCGTTTAATCGATGAAGGCGCTACTAATTAGCAAGGGGCTCATTTGAAAACAGATGTGTTGAGATCACACGGCAGGCCTGTTTTTCCCGTACTGGAATAATCACAAAAGTCAGCTTCATAGACTTTGACAGTGCTGGTTTTGTTTGCTGAGCGGTGGCATTCGTTTACTCAACTCCAACTCGGTAAAAGGTCAAGTGGGGAGCATTTGAGGGTATGTCGTTGATTCCAACCGAGGCCAATATGACAACATGCTAGGGTGGATTACCAGCTTTTTCAAAGCGAATTCCAAACAATGTAGGTTTCTTTTATGACGGCAAAAAAAAAAATCCATGAAGCTCGTTGGGGCTGTTCAAATAGGCCCTCAGAAGCTGTGAGTCTTGTAGAAATAAAATTAAAAACAAAATCAATGAGGCTGTTTCCCCCCCCCCCCCTACACAGGCCACCGGGAGATTTTATTAAATTGTTACGAATAACTTTCTGGCACAGTTTGAATGTCAACATCAAGGCCTGTGTGTTGTGGAAGAGATAAAATACCAGAGGGAAAAATAAACTGACTGAAGAAAATTAAGCGTGAATTACACTTTTTTTTTTCTTCCTTCCTGTAACTAATACAACCCAAATATCAACGCGTTGATAAGCGGGGCATAAGATGCCTGATTGCAAAAACATTTCCCCCCCCGGCTCAATAAAAGTTATTTACACTGAAAAACGCCCCCCCCCCCTTCCCACCCCCTTCCATTCATTCCCCACCACCACCGACCTGCAATCAAGCACAATCAGCACTGATTTCTTCTGTTTACGAAAGAACTGATTGGCCCTAATTAATTGCCCGAGTAGATCATCTCTGATTCCAATCAACTCATTTTACTGACAGGGAATTGTAAATATTGCAAACTAAAAAAAAAAAAAAAAAAAAAGGCCAGGAGGTCGGAAGTAAGCGGATTCATATCGGCATCTTCTCTATTGTATTGTCGGCGTTCTCAAAATAACTCCTATTAAAGAATCACATTTGCAAAAAGTACTAAAGACAACTAGTATTGCTCATTAGGCATCTGGCACATAAACAAGGACGCAGAGGCTGGGCTGGCATGAGATAGTGGTTAGAAACGTCGTCAATCTGGGCGATGATTAAAAGAAAAATGGACGGTGGCGCCTCATCAAGTATGCCAAGTGCACATTCGTTGCATAAAAGCGAAGCAGCAAAACAAAAATCGAGAAAGGACGGGAAATGTTACCTTGGACAGCTCGCCGACCTCCAGGTAAAAACAGATGATGAAAACATTCCAGGTCATCCAGACGACCAGCCAGGCTGCGTACTGGGGAGAGGAAAACGGATTAAGACTCTGTCATTACGGCAGCACTTGAAGAACCGTTTCAGGTTTCCATTAAAACGCTGAAAATAGCCTTTTGTGTTCAGCCAATGCGCAAGTTCAGAAACAGGAACACGAATGTGTTACAATGACGCGAATGTAAAACAAGCATTTGCGACCCGCTACGAGTTAGCGTGTCTTATTGTTGAAATAAATACGATAGTCGCTAGTGAGGCAGCTAGCTAGCATGGCTAACATCCGTTTCGCTCAGTACGTTTTAATGTTGTACTACATTTTAATTACTGATGCCATCAGTGGAAAATGGCAAAACACAATAATTATGCTACGCTACATACTGTACATATGTTAATACTCCTTCTTGTGTGGGAGAAATGCGCTTCGAGGCTTGTTCAAATGTCGTATAAAACCTACCCCAGTGATGTAGCGCGGTCTGAACTGGATGGTGCCAAACAAGCCCAGGATGACCACGATGATGTGGAGAAAGTTCGTCAGGATGGGAGCCCACTGATAGCCCAGGAAGTCAATGATCTGACGCTCTAAGACGCTGACCTGGCAGATGACAAAAGCACGTAAAGCCGAGTTGAATCGTTGCCCCTCTTTCTCACTCAACACATTTTAGCCTGAGGCAGACAGAAGCTGCAGAACTCAAGGGTCTTGTACGAACTGTTATCTCGTTCAATAGTTTGCACGGATCCACGCACTAATTGACAAGTAGAATTTTGCGGTTCGCTGGTGGCAGTGAACTTCAACTCATTTCAAACCAAGCAGCTGTTTGGCAGAGAGAGAACATTTGTTTCAGAAAGTAGGCTTCAAGCTGTTTAATGACGTTTACTGTCAGACTAAACAAAAAGCAAAGACGTTTCTACGTGGTGTACTTAAAACTACCAAACCACTTTGCATGACGATTGCCCCCATTAGCTTCATGCTAACATATTTCGGAAAATGCTATTGATGGGCTGTATCGTCACAAGACTTACTTGCATACATTCTTTTTCCTCTATGAACTAATATGATTATGGCTTACAAAGTTACAAAGAGTAGTCATGCCTCTTATCGTGTCTGTATGACTGGATTCTACTGCCCCCGGTGGCCAGGACAATAATCGACTTGCGGCAATCGGTGGCGGCGAGGTTAGGATGACTGTGTTTACAGTTACCGCTTTTATCATTATTGTGAATTTGAAGTGTAATCTGTAATCTTACGGTGCTACAGCTTTTGCGCTCAGAGCCCCAACACCCCCCCGCTGTGCTTGTTAACAAACTCAGTGCAGTGTGTGATGCGACGGCGCTAAATATATACAAACACGCATGATCAGACGAGGACAAAGACGAGGTGACGTGACGGGAAAGATGGAAAAGCGTCAACACTTTCCACTCCATTGCTAGCATATTTTGGAAAATGAAGCACGCGCGCACACACACACATGCACACACACAATTATGCATGGCTGAGTTTAGCACATCCGAATGTGAGAACATATGGCAACACTACAGCCATTCACAGCGACATTGCACAAGCACACATACTAAGCAGTCGCTTCTTCGGGAAGGGGGGGGGGGCAACAAAACAGTTTATTGCATTTGAGAGGCACAAAAGCAGCGAGGCGCACTAATGACTTTAATGTACAACATAACATTTCACGCGCACCCACACGTGCACACGTCAGGGCAGGTCTGCGTTGCTTGCACTTGACAGCGCCTGCTGTTGTTGCAGATGCACACACACACACACACACACACACACACACACGGGGCTCAGCTGGCTTTGTGTTTCTTCGTGTATCAGCTCCATGTCATTATGCATAAAGTAAGTCCTCCCATTGACAATTATTTAGTGGCGCAATTGTTCATTTTCTCTCGCCAACACATGCGCTTTACAAGAAGTCAGGGGCCACCCAGCCCATTACGGAAGCCCCTGGGGCAAACCCCGCCCCCACCCCCCCTAGTCTCCTTCAGCCCTGATAATAAAGGGTCCAGCTGGGAGGCAGGAGCGCACCCAATACACAATACAGATGTAATCAATCAGTCGCACATGCAGTAGACAAAGTGGATTTATTTGTATTTTTTTGGGCGCTAATTTGTCGGAGGGGAAAGTTTTATTGCTCGTGTTTATTATCGCGAGTAAATATGGAAAAGGCGACCATCTGGTTCTTGGCTCATTTACTATTGGCAAACACTGGGCTCAGCTGTAAAACACAGATCATTATGTGATATCAGGCTTTTTAGAATGCAGTCAACGAGCTTTGCATTCAGTCAAAATTTGAGGACCGTATTTTCCGCACTAGAAGGCGCTTCAGAGGATAAGGCGCACCTTCAATGAATGGCATATTTGAAAACTGCTTTCATATATAGGGCGCACCGCATTATAAATCGCGTAGAATAGAAGCTACAATAGTGGCTGCGGTTGCGATATGCATCCACTAGATGCAGCTACGCTAAAGGGAATACAATACAATACATCTTGATTTCTTATTATAGAGCTTTCACAACCGCAGCAGTTGGAACAAAGCGCTTTACAGAACATTTAAAATACGACATCCAAGAAATCTGAATATTGATCCATATATAAGGCGCATCGGATTATAAGGCGCATTGTCGGCTTTTGAGAAAATTGAATGCTTTGAGGTGTGCCTTATAGTGCGGAAATACAGAACAGTCAGTATGGCAGCGACTCCTTCATGTATCAAGTCTTGACTAAAAATCCCAAGCAGTTAAAGTGCATCCATGCATGCATATCTCGTGAAGTAAAAAGATCCAGATGTGAGTCTGCCTCGTAAGAATTTGTCGATCTGCATATGTCTGCCAAATCTGCCTCATGTCGGCACAGAAACCAATCGGGGATTAAGAGCTCCTGCTATTCGGCCGCTTGTCCTCCCCAAAGTGTGACTCCCCCAAATTGGTGAGATGACAATGTGGCAGAACTTAACATTAGGCAAATGTCGGCAATTGAGATTTCCAAGGTACCCCAAACATCCCACGAAAACTGAAAGAATCGTTTTTTTTTCATCCGATCTCTTAAAAAAAAAAATTCTCGATCGTGGCTGCTTCGATAATCTCCATTTCCGTTTTCAGGCAAGTAACCACTCGAGTGTACTGCGCAGTTGATTCAGGAAGACAAATTCATTCGTTGGCGTTGTTTTTAGCATGAAGCGAAGATTCCCGAGTACAGTTGACCAGTAAAGAGGAGGCGACGAGAGGAAAGCAACGAGGTTTTCATCAAGCGTATCTTCAAACGCTGCTGTTTTTATTAATTACGGTCGGAGCACAGAGACGATTCGCTTGTTCACCAAATAATATTCGAGAAGGATGTTCATGTCACGAGCTGATCAAGCATGAGAAACAAATGCAAGCCGTCGGCCATTTATGAGGAGCGCTGCCGCGGAGCCCCATCTCAACCTTTTTATGAAGTCAAGTGTAGTGGCTTGAGATCAAGGGACTATCGAGTTGCTCACCATGTTTTATGTAGTCAAGTGACGAAAGGGGAGGGGGGGGGGGGAACGCTCTGAAGAATAAACTTCAGTGGGCGCGACTAATCTTGATGATCACACAGCTGCTTTTGAAATCCGATCGTACCGCTATGACTATTCATCATACGCAAATGCCGTCTTGAACGTAAACCCAAAATCGACATCTCTTCAAAATGCTCACTTGAGGGACTTGTCTTGTGTTCTAATGCGATACCGCCGCCATTTTTCTCAAATGCCTTAACTGGACCGACTAGGTTGTCATCGGGTAGCAACAAAATCCAGGACAGACTGATGACCTCCGTTAAATTAAACGAGTTGCATCTTGGATGAACAAGAGACGACGTGTGCTTAACTCATTCACTCCCAAAGATGTTTTTAAACGTCTTTTCAGACTCGGTCCAGAAATGGCTGGTACTCAATGAGTTAAAATGCAAAAGCTTCCGAAGACTCATAGTTGTCGAGAGAAAAATGTCATCCTCTTGGATCATAATTTTTTTTGTTGTTTTTTTAATGCCTTCCCACTGGTGCAAAAAATTGTATTTTTACAGCAAACGCACCCGCGCTACAAATGCTTGGATGAGAGATTGACAGCGCGAAAGATGAAGGTGATGAAAGGGGCAGTTAGGGGGAGGCAACGAGGAGATCCTTCTGTGACTTTCCGAGTCTATTTCGGTGCGTCTGATGGCAAGAAACGATGAAGCGATCTCAAAGAATAATTATTATTGCTCCAGACGGCGAGGCAGCTGCAACTATTAAGGGACACAAAGGTGTCTTTCATCTCAAACACAAAAAGCGCGACAAGACGAGAGAGCGTGGACATTTTTATCTTTCGCCGCCGGAACTTGCGTCCGTCCCTCGTCGTTCTCATTTGCTCTCCTCTCCCACTCTTCCGTATTTCAGAAGCAGCCATCTTTCGCCGGATTCCTTTTGTTCTCAAGCCGTGACCTCATCAGCCGCCGCCAGCTTCCTTCTTGCAGACACGCCTCCTCAGCTGCCAGCTAATCGCGGAGTCACGTGCGATATGAAAATGTTGGGCCACGTGGAGGGGATCTGCGGGCCAAATGTAAGACCTGCTGAAAGCAATTTCAATCCTTTTTTTGTGCGTGGTGGGATATGGGCTCGAAATTTAGACCACAAAATGTTTCGTTTCTATGGACTAATTTTAATTTAAAAAAATTTAAATTAAAAAAAAAATTGTAAAATTATTATTCGTTTTTTTTTTTTAATGTATGTATCTCCGAAAAATCAAATGAATTTGCCTGCAGACGTCGAGACAGACCAAAAGTATTGTTTTGTGAAAAAATATTAAACTGACCACATCGGGACTTAAGTTGTCGACGCAGCTGTCGGCGCAATTTCAATTTTTCTGAACAAACAACAAGAAAACAAACACTTTCCATTCACAGGCTGTCGCTTTCATTCTTCGCTGTCATCCAGCCAGGTGCCGCCTTTTCAAGCCGCACGCACTCAGACGTTGCAGATGCTACAGCAGAAAACAAGGATGGTTGACCACAACCTTTAATGTAGGTGCTCTTCCGTTTCATACCGCCAAATCAATTTTACTTGAGCAATCGACGGGATTATCGATGAAACATTTGACTGGATTCGAAAAATATTTGACAACCGCAGCCCATAAACACGGTGTAGTATAAAGAAAAGAAAAATTGAAATGACTCGCGTATTGTGAGAGATATCCATTAACGCCGCCCCCACAACTCCTTTTATTCCAGCTCATCCTGCTTTCACCCCAGTTTGCCACCGCATTCTGTGACCTTTAAAAAGAAATGCCGATCCAATTCCGCCGCTCGTCCCGTTAATGCTTGACAGAGAGAAGGCGAGGTGAAGATTGCGACGATGGCGAGACACGGAGGGAAAACAAAAACGGAAGAATGTCCACACACGGTCTCATTTTTACCCTGGTGACCATCGTCCCGTAAACCCGTCGTTTGAGCGTCGTCGACTTTTGCCCTGCTTCATAAAACGCGGGCCGGCGCCGTTTACTGTTAACTTAATTAAGGCTCGCGCGCCTGCTTGCCGTCTCCCGCTGCTGTATGGCAAAGGCAATTTCCGATCGATCGGAGTT